TCTATAAGTTTAGAGCCTTTGCTGTGGTACTCTCCTCCTCTATTTATTTTTACAATTTGTTGACTCTCCTCAAATGATCAGCAATTCACTGTTCATAAAAATAAACTCCTCTATAAGCTCCATCCCATTTTTCTACTGGGTGCTACACTTTACATTGCTTCAACGATACTGCCAAAGCGTCACCTTCGGAACTCAGTTATATTGTTGTGTTGTTAACATTTGTGCCATTTGCAGCTATGTACGCGCGCACGAAAACGTTTACAATTTTCTGAGTATTTTCAATATAAAATTTCTCCTTTTAAAAGTTAACACAACCACGAAGCGATATTCCCTCCTCCTCCGCCAGATGCTATTTAGTTGCTATATATGTACCAGCTGAAGCTATGGCGGTCATTCGAAGTCATGCCATTTTCAGCCTCGGGCAGGAACTCTGCTGCAGTACAATTGCAATTTCTTTAAAGCACCCAATGAAGCAGCGCCGCAAGTATGCATGTGCAAAAACCCAGAAACAAGTGAGCGACGCGCGCAGACAACCAAAGCCGTACGTGACTACAGGAAAATCTAATAAAGTTGTGCGACAATAAATTATTTATCTCTTCCTCGTTGCACCCCTTGGACGCCTTGGACGTCGCCTGTGGACTCCCACACTCGTATCAGTCGTTTTGCAGTGCCTGCAGTGCCCCTGCCTTCCTGCCACAACTTCTGCACCGCTGTATTCCCTAGCTAGTTGTGGGGGCGGTCGTGTGCGTTTTCTTTTTATAACTGTACTTTACTTAATACCCATACTCTACAACCCCCGCGTAACTTTTGAGATATTTCATTTAAGATTTTCAAATCCACAAGCGCTTAGTTGCCGTATGGACACTTTCATATTCATATTTATGGAAAATAAATATTTATTTTAATATCTGCATCCGCAAAGGATGCAAAAAACTTAAATCTCTTTTGCTTTAAGGTGATTTTTAGAATTTTCATGAATTTTCATTGCGATAAATGGTGTATTTCTTTGCTCTTATGCGCAGGTGCTCAACTCCAGAATCACTTCGAATGGGCTGGTCAGCACCGTAACATATCTGCCACAAACTGACTCCGAGCTGATAACGCTCGCCTGCTGGGCCAGCAACTCTGTGGGACGCCAAACAACGCCATGTCTGGTGCACATTCTACCAGCAAGTAAGTGAAAATTTAAATACTTAAATATGTATGTATGTAAGTATGTATGAAATAATCTGCCAAAAGCTCTATAAATGCATTCAACCGCAATCAAAGCCAACAGCTTCTTATTAAGCTCACTGGGCAGCCAATTCGATGTGTAAATGTTTAAATGCAGCAAAACCAGTTCGGATTTCGCCGTTAGAGACGAATCCAAAACCAAATGCGGATCAAGGGATGAAAATGCCGCTTTATTTTGAGAGCGCCACAATGTAATACTTTGAAATTTTCGGTTTCTTTCCCAAATTGCAATTTTCCCACTCAACGACATAAAGTCAACACTAACAACAACAACAACAACGATATATTTGCCATCGCCATTGGGGCATTTGTTGAGTCGCACGAGCTTGTGCAAGCACTTAGCCAATGAGCAATTTAAACACTCCATAAACGACAATTGAGGTTTCAGCAGAGGTAGTTGTAAACACACTCACTGCCGATTATACTTAGGCGAATGCTTATTTTTGTAAATGCATAGTATCTTTGTGGGAATTTCGAAGGTAAGTGCTTAATGCAGCCAAACTAGTACATGAAGAATCAGTTGAATTTTGAATATGTATTTATATGTAGAGATATATTTACATATGTTGGCAGCAAAACAAAAGCAATTAGCTCGATAGTGGGAAGGGAATAGCAAAATAAAATGTAACGGTACTTTAAAAATTTTAAGATTGATAATTTAGGAAAAAGTAGAAAAAAAGAGTTATGTTGACCTTTAACAGGACCTTCCAATTTTAAAAACTTTAAACTTTTTTCTTTTTTTTTTTACTTGAAACCAATACTTATGTATCACTGTGCGACAGTAAATTCTTCACTCACACAAATCAATATATTTATTCGTGAAACCATGGGCCGAATATAGGAAAACTGCGTTTTTAGTTTTTCTCTCTGACGTCAGAATTTCTTTTAAGAGGACTTTAAGATTTTAATAATTTGATAACTTCAAAATATTATTAAAAAAACTCAGTGCTATGTTGAAAAACAGTGTGGGTATCACATTTAAAAAAAAAAATTTGTTTTGCATTAAAGCGTATTCACTTTTGCGGCACAAAGCCGATTAGGTATTGATAATGTCCTTTTAAAATTGTATCCTTGAAATTTAGCAAAAACTTTTTTTGAAAAAAATATATGTTATGGACTAATACAGACTCGATCACACCCTCGAATTTCATCCTACCAACTTTATTGGCTCAAAAAAAGTAAAATGAATAAAAATGGCATATTTCATCGATTCATGGGTCTGTGTTATTTTTAAGTCCCATTATTGCTGTTCTCCCTAACATTGGCACTCGCGCCACCTGTGTCCCTATTCGAAAGCGTTGAAAAGTATTCTCTCCAAAATCCACGTGAAATCTGGACGTCTGTTAATTGATTGTCATCTTCGTCTTTGCAGAAACTAGTGCCACGGTTTGGCACGGTTTTATTTATAGCTGTCTATTTTTTGATAAAATTTTGTTAAAATATGTGTAAATCTTAGAAGCAGAAAACAAAATAAATACATATTTTATGTATTTTTTCGACGAGTGTAGCTAATTGTATCCTAGAGGCATTTGCAATAAATTGCTAGAAATTATATGTACCAAAAACTTTCTAGAAATTTACACTTCATAAATGTATGTATTCATGGGATATGTACCTTTTGCATATATTTGAGTAGACAGTGCGACTCGTGCTTATGCGAGTATTCATTACATACTGGTTCGATTGGCATCCATATACATACATATGAACTTATAAACATACATACCTATATAGATACAAATACACAATAAGTAATTAATTATATCTGTAATTTCTTCGCAGATACACCGGAAGCACCGAAGGCTTGTGAGCTGCGCAACGACACTGTCTTGGAGGTGGTTTGTGTGGCTGGCAATGATGGTGGGCTCACTCAATATTTCCTGCTAGAAGTGATTGGTGGCGATCCACTGTATGCCAACGATGCAGGGCGTAGTTTTGCCGACGCTAATGTAGGCGACAATGAGCTCTCCACTATGAACGACCAGGTATGTAAGCAGATTACATATTTACCAATTTACATGCGATTGTGTGCATTCCACATACATACTCACTTACTTACATACATAGCTATGTGTGTTTGTGTACACAGAGAGGGTATGATTGAGTGCAAGTGAAGGCAAATATTGCAAATTATCTTCATTCTCAATGGCTTTGTAACCAACCAAATAGCAAACAAGTTGTGTATGTATGTACGAGTATTTAGCCAACGAACTTCATTAAGAGCAGAGAATTGGTGCATGTGAGTGTATGTTGCGTATGTGAAATTGTTTAAATTTGATGGGCATCTTAAATGTGGAAATTGACGACTTATGCTTAAATGATTTTAATCAGAGAAACTCTATATATTTCATATTCGAAGAATTAAATAATATATATGTACATAGGTCTTCTCGCACTGGGAAATACTACAATTGAAGTGTCAGTGTCAGTGCCATTGAATAGTTATAGCCATACATTCGGCTACTAAGAAGTTGAAAATCCAATTATGTTGATTATTTTGCAACAGAGCATAGTTGCCTCACTAGGAAAGCAAGATATCTTTTGTTTCCTTCATGATAATTATTACGGAATTTTAATGAAATCCGGCTATTGCCTTAGTTTTACCAAAAATTGGAATTACGGTCGAAATTGCCTCGCTTCCGCACCCATTAGCCATACAAAAACGAAGTTTAGTTAAAATCTGACAAAATTTACTATTCGTTGCAAAAAGACTACATAAGTAAATTTCAGCAAAATTGGGGCATGATTACTATTTTCGGCAACAGTTGATAAACGAACCTGCCTTGTTAAACATTCAGGCTATAGAAGATTAACGCCCCTGAAGTTTTTGTTGTTGTTAAACTTGAGCGTATCGAGTACTTTCATACTAACTTAACTTCCACTAAAGAACACCGGAAGGTACTTCCTTCTGCTCTTTAAGAAGTCATTAACAATTTTTATTTATTTGGCCGTATTTTATGAATATGTATATGTATGTACAAATATTTTTAGAAAAACCTTTGAGTACCACCAGTTAGATAATTCGCAGAAAAAAAACTTAAGTCAATATGTCGTTTGCAGACATTAGGGTATGTAGTGTTTCTGCCACTTTTAGAGCACTGCGGGCCATTCCAATTAAAATGTAACATGATTAAAAAAAATTAAAAATTCTTAGAATTTTGGGTGTACCGATGGTAGACAAAATAGCCAACTTGGGTTGAACAAATCATACATAAATATGTACATACATGTCCGTTTTGCCATTTTCATATTTTTTTATAAAAAAATATTTGATGAAATGTCCTAGATTTCTAATTTCAAAAATTTTACACCAAACTGTTTAGTCTTTCCGAAATTCATGTTCCTCAAGTAACACACAGGTGTACAATTTGGTATAAATTTATGAATTTCGGTACAAATCTGATTGAGTTGTACCAAAATTCATAAATTTGCACCAAGCTTTTTTTATATTGATATTCATATTCATATTCATATCCATATTAATATTCCTATTCATATTATGTGATGTTCATATTCTTCTTCATATTCAGCATATTGAAATTCATAATTTTTAAGAAAAAAAGAAAAGAAAAAAATGAATGTCAGTTACTTCTAGTGCAAAATTTTAACCCAAATAAAAGGCCAGTGTGCACAAAAGCACTACATTTTGTTGCCTTTAATACTATGAAGTTGTTGTGTACTAAATTTGTTGTTCAACCTACTGCACACACAGCGGTTACTCATACGCCCCATCCGCCACATACGAACGTTCACTAAATGTTATGAAGAACAATTGCATAAGCGCTTCGTCATTCAATTTAATTCAATTAGCTATGTATGTAACTTCATAAGTTCACAAATACACATGTACATACATGTGTAAGTATGTATGTCCGTAATAATTGCACACATGAGTGAGTTGGCCAACAATTATGACTATCCGCCTGCCAATTCAAATTAAAAAGAACTTTGTAATTCATACGGTCAATTATTGCTCAAGCGGACCCAAATGACTTTCTGCTGTTGAGTATGCTTGTAACAAACACCATACACACAAGCACAAGCGTATATGCACATACACTTGGTAAATGACAGCTAGGAATGCGAATGTTTTGGGCCTTTGCCATTGTCAGGGTCAGGGTAATGCGAAAAACGAATAGCGAGATGTGAATTGCTTATTGGCTGCCATTTGCAGATACTCACATGTACTTATACATATGTATGTACATATGTAACCCTTGCTTCCTCAAGTGCCACATTCCAACACATTGAGCCAGAGTGATGGCAATAAAAAAAACAACAACAACAACGTTATCTTAAAGAAATGTAGCAATAACGTTATCGTCCTATTGCTGTTACGCAACTATTATTAGTTTCATAGTTTTGCTTCCACTCGAAGAGCAGCGAGGAAACAATAAAGCGTTTCTTTTTTTAATAAGCCAAACAATGCATTGAATGGGTAAACCGATGCGTGTTTCAGTTCAACGTGAAGTGAAGCTCCCACCAGTCGATGGTAAGGGATGCACGTGCTCACAAGCTCAACAACTCACAGCTTTATGGAATAAGTAGAAGAAAGCGCTTCACTGATTGCCAGTTACAAAAGGGACACACAATAAATTACTTCCACTTACTTGAGTGGGAATTTGTGCGTAACCGTTTAAAGAGACCGAACCGAGTAGCTTTTTGCCCATAACCTCGCTACCGTCGCTATCAGCTTGGCGGCGGCCAAGCGAGCCAGTTGAAGCAATCGACAAATCTTTGTTGTAGACGAACAGTAAAGCAAATTGCAACAAAAATTTGGAAAATGAGGTGGTGAAGAAGCAGGAGAACACAACGTAGAATATCTATAATGTAAACAACAACAAGATAGATACAGTGCAAAGTAAAGTAACTGTAATACTCGTAAAGGGAAGCGCAGTCAATGGCTAGACAAGAATCAACAATAAAGCCATGGCTAAGAACTTCCAAAGATATTTGGAACTTTGCAGCAAACGCGATGCTACCGAAAGTATAGCTTACACACATACATACGTACATGTGTACTAACTATATACATATATCAGCATAAATNCAGTAACGCAAGACAATATTATTCACTTTCTCGTAGGTAATGTGTTCTGTAAACTAGAAGGTGAGTGCTGAATCTCGATTAGTAAGCGCTTTTCGAAATTCACCACATAACTTCTAGTTTAACCTGGGCATGTCATCACATAAAATGTTGGTCCCAATTGGAGCCGGTTAAGGCGTGTCGCAATGGGGCCTAGGTCAGATGCTCCATGGAGACTCAAAAAATTAAAAATATTTTTTTCATTTAATACGCAAAATCGATCCTTTTAAAATCGAAGATATCACATAAAAACTCTTGCCCCGATTTGAGTCGGTTATGATGTCTTCATAGGGTAATCTGAATTTTGCCCGCTGTGCGCCTCGTCTTAAACGACTCCAATCGGGATTAAAATTTATATGTGATATCTGCGACTATGGTAGTATCGATTTGGGGTATTAGATGAAAAAAATAATATTTTTTTTTTTTTTTGAGTCCCCATAGAGGAATCTGAACTTTGCCCCCTGTGCGACAGGCCTTAACCGTCTCCAGTCGGGACTAAAATTTTGTATTTGATATCTTCGACTATAGTAACATCGACGAAGGGATTGAAGCTTAGAAAATCGGATGTAAAAATGTGCTTGCTACAATTAAGAACCACCCTAATGTACATACATATATTTGGCGTGCGTGTTCGTATTAGCGTATTCGAGATATTTTCGCTCATATATTTTTTATATGTACGGGTGTGCTTATAAATTATTAGACGCACAGACAAGTGGTCAGTTAGGCTCCTACTGGTCAAAAAGGAAAAGGAACACATCCACTTATACTTATTACACTAAACAAACTCAAGTTGCTCAATAACATACATA